GGGTTTCAATGTGTTATTTGTTGTTTGTAATTTTGTGTTATTTTCGTTATAGGTTAAATCTGAAGATTTAGGATTTCAATGTCCTTTTGTCTTCTTCTTCTTCTTTTTTTTTTTTACGCTTATTTTTTTTTAAATTTACTTTTTAAAGATTTTATTTTTGTTGTTGGTAACCTCAAAATTTACTCTTCGAATGTGTTTTCTTACTGTTAAAGTGTTGAAAGTTCAAAAATTATTTTTGGTCTTTTATTTTTTCTGTGTATTCCTTTTTTGCGTATAAACTAATTTGTTTTATTTATTTTCAATTTTTTTCCTCGGTATTTAGGACTTCAATATTTGAAGTTGATTTTTTGTTTCCTTTTTTTCCTTCTTTAGTTCTTTGTTTGTATTATTTTTTTAAATGATGGTTTATGTGGCTTCCAAACTGTTTTTCTTTGTTTTTTTATTTGCTGTTTAAATCTATTTTGATTTTCTATTAGTTAACTGGATATCTAGGGTTTCAACGTGCTATTTGTTGTTTGTAATTTTGTGTTATTTTCGTTCTAGGTTAGATATGAAGATTTAGGATTTCAGTGTCCTTTTGTCTTCTTCTTCTTCTTTTTTTTTGCGCTTATTATTTTTGTTTTAAAATTTACTTTTTAAAGATGTTATTTTTGTTGTTGATAACCGTAAGATTTACTCTTCGAATGTGTTTTCTTACTGTTAAAGTGTTGAAAGTTCAAATATTTTTTTTTTTGTCTTCTATATTTTTTTTTCTGTGTATTCCTATTTTGCGTATAAACTAATTTGTTTTATTTATTTTCAATTTTTTCCTTGGTATTTAGGACTTCGATATTTGAAGGTGATTTTTCCCAACTGGTAAGTTTGTTTCTTTTTTTTCTTTCTTTAGTTCTTTGTTTGTATTATTTTTTAAAATGATGATTTATGTGGCTTCCAAACTGTTCTTCTTTGTTTTTATTTACTGTTTAGATTTATTTGATTTTCTATTAGTTGACTAGATATTTAGGGTTTCATCGTGTTATTTGTAATTTTGTGTTATTTTCGTTCTAGGTTAGATTTGAAGATTTAGGATTTTAGTGTTCTTTTATCTTCTTCTTCTTCTTCAGTTTTTTTTTTTTTTACACTTATTATCTTTGTTTTGAAATTTACTTTTTAAAGATATTATTTTTATTGTTGGTAACCTTAAGATTTACTCTTCGAATATGTTTTCTTACTATTAAAGTGTTTGAAAGTTCAAAAATTATTTTTGGTCTTCTATATTTGAGCTGAAAATTTAGATTTTGAAGGTTTTTCTTTTCTCTTTGTTGAAGATTTATTATTCTAATTTGTTATTTTGTTAGTTATTAGTTGATGATGAATAGTAAGTGTTCGAATGTGTTATTTTGTTCTCTGTGAACTGTGCTATTTCCATTTGAAGTTAAAGCTGAAGGTTTAAGATTTTAATGTTCTTGTGGCTTTATTTTTTACACTTAGGCTATATTTGATTGCACCCCAATTCCATGGAAAATAGAAATCAAATTCCATCTTTCCAATTGTTTGTTTTGATTGGCAAATTTTTTCCTAGAATTCGAATTCCACCTTTTATGCCACCTAAGCTAATTTCCAAAATGGTGAGAATTCGAATTCTTGATTACTATAGCACTTTTTTTATTTGTTTTCAATTTTTTATTTATTTATTTTTTTGTTGACAATGAAAACAAATTTGAAGAATTATTGTAAAAAAATATTTCCCCCTAAATGGAAATTTTCATGTAAAACAAAGCCAAATGAACACTAAACGATAGATTATTTTCTTGAAATTTTTTTTTTGTGTTGGTAATGAAAACAAATTTCATCCCTAATACCAGTAAAATATATTCCTTTAATTGACAATTTTCATATAAAACAAAGCCAAACGGAGATCAAAAACACTTTTATTTCAACATTTTTCACATGAAAAATTATTCCAATCAAACACAATAATTTACAATTCTCAGGAAAATAATTTCTAGGCAATTCAATTTTCTGGAATTCGTTTTCAATTCAATTCAATTCCATCTTTGCAATCAAACGGACCCTTATTGTCTTTGCTAATTTTGTTGTTGGCGACCTCAAGATTTAGTCTTGGAAGGCATTTTCTTGTTGTTGAAGTGTTGGTAGTTTGAAAATGCTTTTTAATCTTCTATACTTGAGCTAGAAATTAGGCTTTGAAGGTTTTTTTTTCTCCATTTTTTGGTTGAAAATTTATAGTTTCAATCTATTATTTGTTTTTTATTAGTTGATGATGAAGAGGAAGGGTTTGAAGGTGTTTTTTTTTTTTTCTCTATGACTTGTATTATTTTTGTTTGAAGTTAAAGCTAAATATTTAGGATTTTTATGTCCTTGTGGTTTCTTTTTTTGCACTTATTGTGTTTGATCTCTCTGTGTATTAACTCATTTTTTGATCGCCTAAAAATTATTGTGTTTATGTTGATTTCTTTGTCGTCCAAGTGCATTATACCTATAGAAACATACATGCAACTCATTGTCTTGGTATTCAGTTTCTATAGTCGGAAAATTTCATGCCATCTCATGATTTCTATGTCCAAAGTGTCTACAAGCGCATCTTTTCGTCTTCTATTTCATATTTAAGTTCAAGATTTACCCTTTAAACCTGTTATTTTTCTGTGAGGTTGAGAATTAGTCTTTGAAGGCAGTTGAGATGGAAAAATTAATTGGTAAGTGCGACAAAAGTGAAGAAACTGGAATACTTTATCCAAAGGTAAGTAAAATTTAAATTCAATTAGAAATCTGAAAAAAAAAATTGACATGTATTTTTATGCATTTTTTCCTTTATGCCTATGAGATTATGAGAGTAAGGCATGTTTTTATAGTTTCTTTTAAGCTCAAAAATTCTATCTTAGATAATGGAGATTTCTTATAGCAGGTTTGACCTATAACTTAATGCTTGTTTTTTTTATGACAATGCTAAGACTTGTCTTGAGTCCATTAATATGTATATTAGAGTATTGCATATGTTGAGTGATATTTGGCATTACATTGTTGAAATTTAATTCAGGGTCATCTATGCCATATGATATTATTGTGGCTGATATGCTAACATTTTAAAATTTGTCCCACTGCTTCTTGATAGTGTTGTCCAATCTATTATTGCATTTTTTACTTCATGATTCTTCATGTTTTAAGAAAAATTCTGGATTTTGGTGCCTTTACTCTATCTGTTTGACTGTGTGTTTGAGAAAATGATGGTTCTGACCTATTAATTTCATGATGTTTATTGACATAATTGTCACCATTCTTCTTAGTAACTCGGGTTCTTGAAATTCTTCAATTTGATGTAACTATGTTTGACAATTTGTCAATCCATTTTTTATATTTACAGTCTTCATTTTTGGATTGTGGTCTGTGATCATCGATGTTTTGGCAAATTCTCCACGTGATTCTATTCAGTTTATCAAGTGGTCATCTACTTCCTCTCCCCCTGTCTTGCTTATAGCTAATTTTCATAGCCGGATTACCATCTGGACTCAGCCTTCTCAAGTATGCTAGCCCTGTCGGGCTTGTTGAATTATGAAACTATAACATTCTCGTTTCTCAAACATCTTGCTGATTTGCTACTAAAATACTTAGATTAGACAATACTTATTCTCGATCACAATTTTTTTCACATGTGGTATATGTTGAGATACTCTTCTTCCATGTTTTTATTGAGCTCACATTTTTTTTATTCATTCAAGGTCCTATCCTATCAAATAAATCATTAATCTATGAATAGTATAAAAAAATAAAGATAGAGGAAAATACAAACTTGTTTTACTTCTTTAGCAACTCACTCAACCACTTTCATTGTACAGATAAACTAAAGAACACATAATTGGTTGTGAGAAAGATGACAAACGAAGAATAAGACAAGTGGGGAATAACGAAGAATTTTATTGCACATTTCATTCAAGATTAGTAGAAAATTATGCTACAACATTGATAATATCGGTAAGGTGGTAAACTTTTGGAAGTTCGTGAGGAACAATGTTATCATATAGATATACCGTGAAAATATTTATAAATTAACATGAACATTCTGATGCTAAAATCAAATTATTGTTCTGACTTCCGAACTCCAACATCATGCACTCTGGTGATTATTGTCCCAAGAGTAAAGAGTTACACTAGTATTGACAATTTTTGGATAATATAAATTCTATAAATTCTACACTAATAATAACATAATAAATATAATACTTGTGCAACGCACGAGAAGAAGACTAGTTATTATTATAAAGGAGAAAAATCTTGGTGCAAACTTATGCCAACACTACTTAAAGCTACTCCCCCACGGCCCCACCAAATTAAAATAGTGTCTAAATTGAGCATCCAAGGAGGAAAAAGCTTCTTTGCTACCCACAATAAGCACCAAGAGAACACCTTTGGGTATCAATACATGGAGGGCTAAGGCCTGTTTCATTCTGCCCCACCTATTATACATTTAATAATGCTGAGAATGTGTGAACAAAAATCGATTAGGCATGGAAATAATTTGAATTTATAAGTGGATTTAATTGCTCCGTTTAATAGGTTAACTGATTGAATTCCAAGTCCTAACAAAGTATATCACTATTTTGCACCAGAGTTAATCGTTTAGACGTTCAAGATGAATTATCTCTTGAAGTCAAATGAAAATACTGGCCCACAAATTGGATCACATTAAATTTTTTTATTACCTCTCAAAACGACTTTATGCACTTAATAACAATGGCCATTAATGTAGTGGAAGAGAAAACTGAAATGGTATTTTAAAATTCAATTATCATTGTATAAAATTTCTCCTCGGTTGTGTCTTGTTCTAACATATCAAACATATTGTTAAAGTAAAAGCATTAAAAAAAAAAAATCAGAATATGTGTGTTCTTCCAAGCAAAGAAAAGAAAAGGACAAAAAAGAAAAATCAAAATGAGAGGAGAAAAAGAGTAAATATAACCTTAATCGTATATACTTTACATTATTCTTGATTACTATAAAAACCCTATCTACCATTATTCTCTGTCATTTCAAAATATATTCCTCATTCTCTCTACAATCTCAGAAAGCTTACCATTTTATTCTTGATTTCAAACTATTCAATTCTTGATCACTTATACCTCATACCATGTCTATCGCAGAACTCTCAGATCACCCTAACCAATTGTACAACAAACCATTCCACTGGAGGAATGACTCTGGAGAGCTCGATGTTTTCGAGGCTGCCCGATACTTTTCCGGTGGTGGCACCGATGAAGTTCCAGCCAGTGGCGCAACTTCGGCGCAAAAGACATCTGTTCCCCGAACTGCTCAAATAAGCCTAGAAATGCCTATCACAAGAAGTTCAATTCCATCACAAACTTATGCAATGGAAAAGCAAAACTTGAAAGAGAAGAAAAACAAGCAACCTAGCTCTCCAGGTGGTAGACTTGCTCATTTCTTGAATTCCCTATTCAATCAGGCTTCACTAAAAAAGAAGAAATCAAAAATCGGGGCCAAAACGGCTAAGGATGAAGAAGAAAGCCCTGGTGGAAGAAGGAAGAGAAGAAGTAGCATTAGCCATTTTAGAACAGCAAGCAGTACTACAGATTCTAAGTCCTTTTACTCATCTTCAAGTTCAGGTTTTAGAACACCTCCTCCTCATGCAAATACTCCCACAAAATCGTATAAAGAAATCAGAAACTTTTCAGATTATAAGCAAATTATTTCTGTGCAAAAATTTAATGGAAACGTCAAGAATGATTATTCTTCTTCATGGTTGGATGAAAAATTCAAGTTCAGGAATGGATATTCAGAGATCAACTGGGCAGATAAGTATCCATCAGAAGAAAATGAATTCAGAAAAATCAGTGATGTTGATGATGGAGCAGATAGTGATTCAAGTTCAGACCTGTTTGATTTACCAAATCATGAGTTGGAATTTTACTCAAGTGATCCGCCTGTTTATGAAACAACCCATATTGACAGCATCAAGAGAGCTGCACCAATTTCTAGCACTGGCAAAGTATAATTTCCCTTTCTTGTTAATGTGGGCTGCCCTGTCGACACTATTAAGGGAAAAAAAATGTTCAAATTTTGTTCATTGTCGACTCCAGTTTGTCTCAATGAGTGATGATACTGGACACTACAATGAATAAAATTTCAACTTTTTTATTATTTAATATTGTCAATTACAGTTTAGTCCACTTTATCAGACATGTCCTCGATGTTATAAGATTTGTTTTGTTCTTGCTCATGTTTGTAAATTGCAAGAAAATTGGTGATTTTTGTTTATATCAGGCTGTAGATTCTGTTTTCATTTTTCTTATCCAAAAGTTGCCATAACTTTTTCCTTTATTTACAGTTAAGAATGTTTACCTGTTTCTGCTTTTTCTTTTGGAGAGATGCCATTGAGTGGATGAATATGACATAGTGTACTGCCACACCGGTCTTGATATAATTGTGCATTATTAGAAATCATCAAAATTTGTTAATGGGGGAGAAAAGAAAATCATCATCACACCCATGTTATCTTTGACTCTGGATATAAGCAATGATATAGATTTGTAAATACTGCATTATGTGGTTTCAATTCATCCGTGTTTTAAAAAGTTAAATTGAATAAGAGTAGACATGACAATATATAAAATTTTTACGTATCTCTCTTTTTTGATCTCGTTCTATTCAATTGATCAAACACGTATTCACAAATCTGTTTTAATAAATTAGATGGATCATATTATCAATGTGATTCTTGATTAAGAGGCTATACATCTTCATTTTCTCAGTCCAGTGTTAAACTTAATTATTTATATCAACACTTTGAAATGTTAATAATAAATTAACTAGAGAAATAGGTAAAGGAAAATTCCATCTGGTTGACATCTTTCAGTTTTTAGTCTCGTTCAACAAAAATCTTTAAATCTTTACGGATTTTCACTTTACGAAGTAATACAAGCAGTATCCTGAACTCTAGGAGAATTTTATCTGTAACTAAATTTGACAAGTTTACTTTAGGCATCTGTTGAGCCCCCCATCTCTAAAATTCATATTTTTTCAAACTCATTTTCAACCACATTCTTCTAATAAAATAATTTTACATGTAAACCCTTTTTTTGGTTTTTTTTTTTTCCTATTTTCGAACCACATTCTTCAAAAATTATTACTACTAAATTTATTTTCCAAGAAAAATGGCTTAAATAAACAGTAAAATTACTCAGTGAGGCACTCATCTTCAAGGTTTTTTTACCCTCCTTCACGAATGGGAAACACTCAAAATGCTTAACGAAATCCATGTTAGTTTAGGGGAAAACATGTTTATGTTTGATGAGAGGATCACATAAAAAAAAGTTGTAACTTTCTTGAAATATTTGAACGGTAGCTAGTGTGTAACTGAAGTCTAATGAGAATGTATTCAAGAGTCAAGAGGGATCAAAAAAAGGTATGGTCTTCCTCAATATCCATCTAATCTATTTAGAAAATAGAGATATTTTTTTTATTTGGAATAAAAAAGTAACTAACTGGATAAGAACGAATTAGCTCTTTCAAGCTCCCTTTCTAGAAGATAAAGCCAGAATGTCTTAGCTAATTGGCAGTATGAGTGTCAGGAATTTCGTTAACAAGCAAAATCTGGAGAAAACGGACTTTGATCACATTTCGATGGGGAATGAAGGAAATTTGCCTTCTCTTCAGAATTCCTCATTGCTTTTTCTGTGAAACAAAGCCACCCATTCCGGATCCTGATGCGGTTGATTCATATAGTGGTCGAGAAGTTGGAGCTCAATTGAGATTTTTAATAACTTTTTGGGATTTAAAAAATTTAGAAGTATACAATTAAGACTTTTTCAAATTCTCTAAAAGTCACGGTATAAGACTTTTATAGACTTTTAAAAAGTCTCTAAAAGTTACGGTGCATTCAATTAAAACTTTTTGGAAATCTATATAAGTCTTGGAGTATTCAAATTTTAATGACTTCTAGAAACTTTTATAAAAGTCTTTGGAGTACTAACATTTAAGTAGAAAGTACTTGTATAAAATCTTAAAATTTGTCTCTCATTAATCTTGAGATTTTGGGAGACTTACAAATAAATTTTTTTTTCAATCTTTCTTTCCTTTAATCTTCTTTGGACATGTATGATTAAAATTTATTTTTTTCTATTGATTATATTCCATTCGTCTTTCTTTCACTCTCTTATTATTTATCTCTATTTTCTATGAAAAAGTTAAATGAGATTCTTATAGCTTTTTTTCTTTCTTTTTTCATTCTTTTTTTTTGTGAAAAATATATAATTAAATTTAAATATATTGATTTTTATTTATTTTTAAAAGTATACTATACTAAAAATATAGAATCTTATATATGTAAAATTTGATTATTATTTATTTAATTAAGGTCTTAAATTTTTATTTTTCAAATTTTTTTATTATATGGGAAGAAGAATGAGAAGGGAAATTGTGGGAATTAACACCTTGTATGTGACAATTTCACAACAGATCCACATGAATTCTATTTCAAATGAAAGTCTTCAAAAATCTTTTGAATTCTACAAAAGTCTATAAAAATTTTAAAATGAAAATCCAAAGAAGTCTATGAAAAATTTCCACTAATTCTATATAAATCCATAAAAGATCCTCGAAATCCACAAAAGTCATCACCTAAAAAAAATCCATCAAAAAAGTCTCAATTGAATATAATCCCCCGAGTAACAAATTGAAATCAAAAGGATTCATTTTAAATAAGAGACAGTATCAAGACACATTGAGTTTTATGGTAATATCGTATACACCATTCACGTCAGAAAAAACCACACTAATCTTTCATATTTTAAATTTGAGAATCACATACAATCAAGGTTGTCCGTGAACTATATATCATCTAAAATTATGTTGATATACTTAAAATGTCATTGTGAAGAGAAATATTTTTTTTATATATTTTTTTGCAATTTTATTTTTTCCCTTCAATTAAAAAAAAAATTGTATTACTTAAAGACTTTCTAGATAAAAAATTCAAAACATCTATCCTAGTGAAAACTTTTAACCTAAAGGGCTTGTTTGAGACACATTATTTTCAAAGAAATACAATTTTCAACAGTGATTTGACATCATTTCAACCACACATTATTCAATAAAATAATATTACACGCAAATTTAAAACTTTTTCTTATTTTTTAACTATACATTTACTATTGATTTGACATGAATAATGCATTTTTTCCTAAAATGTGGCTCAAACAAGGGCAAAATTTGTTGAAGAATGTGATAATAAATTATTTAAATCTTTTAATAAACTAATTATATATGTAAATAATTTAAATATTAAAAATGCAAACTTATCAATTAAAATTAGTAATTATAACTGTTACGAGTTGACCCACGGGGGCCGACTCACTGGGGCTCATGGCCCACTTCTGCCGAACCACGTGGCATCTTATCCGAGAGCCCCATCACAACAAGAACACCAGCACCAGGCGTGGTTCAAGTACTACCACCGAAGCTAATACGCCGAAGAGATCTCGTAGCCGAGGCCCTTCTATCCGAAGTCCTGAGGCTCTAAGCTGCACTACTCCCCAGAGATCCGGTCTTACACAATGATCATCCTTGAGTGATTGATGGGACACCCATCATAGAGTACAGTGTCTTATTTTATCAACGTAGTGGTAGAGCCGCCAATTAATTAATGTGTAGCAGACTAGGAAGTCAAATGTGACACTTATAATTGGACAAGTAAAATTACGAGATGAGGCCACGTGTACTCCCAACCAAGGGCCGTGATCTAAATTGTAATACTATAAATACTCCCCATGTATCTCTCACAAAGGTAATGCAAGAATCAATACAAGGAACAATACTTTACTCAATTCTCTCTTATTATCTTGCAACACAATACGAGTTTATACATTTTTACATACACATTTACAAACATCGATTGGTAATTATTGTACAATCGTTATGCAAACATCTCATCGGGTTCCGAACGTTCTCGTCCCGCGCCGTTGAACTACTCCAACGCCCTTAATCTGTCCGTTTTAGACCGTCCACGTGTTTTTACGTGTTGGACTTTCGCTTACGTGTGTGAAGGTGGGTCCGGCATCTATTGAGAACATATTCTGGGGTCAACAATAACGTTACAAACTAAAACAAAATGTTAAAACGTGTACATTATATTATTAAAGTAAAATCTAGCTAAAATATAATATATGTTAGTTCATTAGGATGTTTTGCACCTTCAGAGTTTATTATTAAAATATAAATTCATGCAAATAGTACGACTTATGAAAAAATAAGTAAATTTATTTGTTTAACATTTAAATTGAGTTCGAATGAGTTCTTATATAACATATCAATTTGTATTCTTATAGTTTACTTTGATGAAATTCACTATTATACAAAATTTCATCATTTTTTCATAAATGGACATTTTAGATATATCAACCTCATTTTAGATGATATTGATTCAAAATATGTATGTGATAACTTTTGAGAGAATAATAAAGAAGTGATATCAAAAAGTTATGTAACAATGACAAACTAATTCTTAGAACACATTATTAAGCCCTTGTTTATCATCCTTTAACAAATTAAATTATTTGCTACAGTAATATTCTCCACTAAACATTCATACAACAAAATATTCTATAGTGGAGACCTTTGAGCATGAGTTTAATTCTCCCTACCAACACTTTTTCGGTCAAACTTATCGTACAGGGTTTGCCTAGTACAGTTTATTTGGCTAGCGTTGTTTAAAGGCTATTGCATCAACTCGAGAGTTTATCCAGTGCACACCTAAAAGATAGTTGTTGCGGGTTCCCCCGTCATTAAAAAAAACAAAATATTCTACATACAAATCAATAAAATTTCTTTAAATTTTAACTACGCATTCTCCAAAAAATAATATTCAAAACTCTTTGATTTTTCTAATAATGGGAGACAAACAGGCTCTTGATATTTTTCAAAACTTTGGATTTCATTGCTATATATGTTAAAATAATTACAGCAATTCGTGTTTGTTTGATAGCCTCTCTGTTAGATCCCCAACTCATGTAATAAAATAACAAGGGCATAATAGGAAAATGAACGGAGGCAGTTAGCAGCACATGCAAGTAATAGAGGAAGCTGGAGAATTAGTCAGACAACCATTATAAATAGAACAATGCTCCTCGTACAGAAGCTAATTCACAGAAATGATACAGAAAGTTAAATTTGACCTGACGTGGCGCAATCTTCTTCAAAGACTGATTAAAATAATGCTCAAAACAATTGATACAAAAGTAGAAAGAAAAAGTGAAAGGAAGCTTCACCACTCCACAGTCTCTACCCGCCAGATTTCTCCTGC